AATATGAATTGTACTGTTCTCTTTGTTATACTTTTAAATTTCCTTTCTTTAGGTTTGGATGTGTGGAGGAGAAATGTTTGATGTCCCATGTTCTAGAGTTGGTCATATCTACAGAAAGTATGTCCCTTATAAAGTTCCATCTGGGACCAGCCTGGCAAGAGTGAGTAACTGGGGATCAAAATAAGTTGGGCTTTACATGGCTTCCTGTAGGCAGCAGACCAAGCAGCCTCCTACGTCGTATAATTTGTGACATAGACTGACAGGCACAGTCTGTTAGAAACAACTGACCGAAATAAAAACTGCACCACTTACCACTCCATTTGGCAGGCTTTAGTATGTATAGAGTTTCTGTGTTCCTCAGAGTTTGATTTCCATTCCTTAAGGAGGGATTAACTATTATATTAATTCTTGTTTTTAATTGCTTCTAATTGCTTTCACATACATTATATTTAACCTTCACCTATACCTTCTTCAATTGGTATTCATATCCTTATTTTGTAGATGAGAAAACTGAGGCTTAGCAAGGTGGCTTGTTCACACTCAAATGAATGATGGAGGAGGGGGTTTAAGCCTGAGTCGTCAGAATGGATGTCCAGTACTCCCCCTGTCCCCCTTCATGGAGTATAACAGGATACATAAGTCAGATGGAGAAAGGGGAAAATACGAGATGGGGAGAGGTGGTTGCCCAACCTCTGCTTTCTCATTTGCAACTAGAGCCAAGACTGCCTGAAATTTTACCCCATCCTCAAAATTCCACATTTGGCCAGTTGCAAGATGCTTTTTCAAATACTGTTTTGAATAAAACCTTTTTCATAGGTTAAATGGAAGGATGCCTTTTAGAATGTTTTCATACATATTCGGGAGAAAGTCACAATGCCTTCTTGAATAATCCTGACAATTTCTCTGTTTTCCATGTTACTTTCTTCATAGCTGGGTTAGTTTTATTCACCACAGTATGTAGCTACCACTGCAGAGATGCAAAATCTAGAAAAAAAAAAGTGTTTTTGCTACATCCCTTTACACAGTATTCTCCTAGGAATCAAACCCTGAATTATTCATTTGGTTTTTTTACAACTAAGGCGTCAATAGATAACTATTTGGATCTTTTATATAAAGCTCAATAAACTCACAAGCTTCTTTAAAATATAAACCAGTTCATCAGGTTTCATTAGAATATCAATCCCACCAAGGCAGAGTTTCTTCTGTGCCATTTGCTACTACACTCCCAGCACCTAGAACAAGACTTGGCAGGCACTCCACAAATATTTGTTGACAGGACTAATTAATAAGAAAAAAAAAAACTAGAAAATGCTACAGGCCTGTCTTACTAGAACTTAACAATGAAGTACACAAATTTTTCTTTAAAAAAATTTTGTTAACGTTTATTCACTTTTGAGAGACAGAGTGCGAGTTGAGGAGGGGCAGATAGAGGGAGACACAGAATCTGAAGCAGGCTCCATGCTCTGAGCTGTCAGCACAGAGCCCAACACGGGGCTTGAACCCATGAACTGTGAGATCATGACCTGAGCTGAAGTCAGAAGCCTAGCCAACTGAGCCACCCAGGTGCCCCAAATTTTCATTTGTAGTGAATCTTCTTGAGGAAAGAGAATTGATTTTTATTCCATTTCTGAGATTGTCAACTGTATGCATTTTCTTAAGCCACATCCACGATCTTTTTTTATAACAGTTTGAGTTCATAGTAATGAGGTTACATCACATACACCTTTTTTTAAATGTTTTATTTATTTTTGAGAGAGCACAAGCAGGGGAGGCTGCAGAGAGAGGAAGACAGAGGATCTGAAGCAGACTCTGCACTGACAGCAGTGAGCCTGATGTGGGGCTTGAACTCACGAACTGTGAGATCATGACCTGAGCCAAAGTTGGACGGTCAACTGACTGAGCCACCCAGGTGCCCCGCATCACATACACCTTGAAGGGAAATAGTCATATTATTACTCCCTCCTCAAAAGTTTAATGAAGTACTCCATTAAGTAGCTATAAAAATATGCTATTTGAAAAAAAATCACAAAATCACAAAGCAATTACAGAGCTGTATCTTAGATAAGGACATATGATTCAATTTTGTCATAAGACTTAACACATATGTATCTCCAAATTCATTCAGGAAAACAACAAGAATTCACTAAAAGGCATAGCTTTGGGCACATATCACAAATCAGCCATGTGAGTATCATAAATCATAGCAGGTGAAACTACCCCAAAGATAATGATGTTGTCACTTGTCCCTCTCACTCACTCATATGCTCCCAGCTTGTGCCCCAATCTGCATCATTCATTTGCAGGATGGATGGAGTATGTGCTTGGTTTGTAGTCAAAATTAGAGTGTTCAAACTGGAAGGGAAAGTTGTGCTGATCCAGAGGGTGTGTTTTCAAAAAAATAAAACTGCTCATATATTTTCAAGAAAGAAATGAAGTACTTTTTCAAGGACTGTCAAATAGAGGAAAGCTAGGGCTGGCACATAAAATTTCCAGCAAAAAGTGAGTGTGCCTTCAAATGAAAAAAAAAAAAGTCCATACTTCTGAATTTTAATCTTTTCCACTTAAATTTTACTTGAGGGCTCATTTCCAGTTTTTTTCTAAACTGCTAGGGCAATCAGAAAGTCATAAATATTGAAGTTCAACTGTCAGTCTAAGGTACGTTTCATGATATTTTAAATAAAAAAAATATATTAAAATGAAAAACAATTCTGATTTTTGTGGGAGAACCTCAACTACCTGGTATCCCTGCCGTCGTTACTAAATCATCAAAAATGATGAGAGACATTAAAGGTGTTTCAGATGCAGAGTCATGTCTATTCAATAGGTAGTTAAACTCTCCAAGCTCACTAGGAAATGAAGATGGAGATTTTAACTCTAAAGGCTTGTTTTCTTATTTTACAAAGCTCCTTTAATCCTTCAAAAACATGCACCTTTTATTTACGTACCTATGTAAACTGAAGATTCCCTCCAACCTCCAAACACACACACACACATACACACGCGCACACGCACATGCACACGCACACACACACGTGTGAATAGCCTGCCGTCCTCTAAATAGTTCACCAGTGTGTATTATTGAAATAAATTCAAATAATTAGTACCTTCTATTTACCTAGCATTACAGCCTGGTTGGAAGAGACAAGATAGCCATGTATGAAACCTCTAGAGGACAATACAGGACAACAAGTAGTTGTTCAAACATATTGTGAAGATACGCATTAGCAGAGGGGGCAGGAGGGGGATGCGGTACCAAAGCTTTTGAACTGAAAGAGGACCTTCGAGGATACTTCAATTAAATGGACGAATTTCATAGAATAGTGGTTCCCAAACACAGGACCAGTGACCAGAAGCAGTTCCTGGGCCAGTTTTCATCCAGCCTCAGTGACCTGAGAAAAATAAGAATCACAAAGCTACATATATTCAATTTAGTAATATCCTTTTATGCAGCAATCAGAGGCTTTGG